ATATTTCCTCACATGATTATAGTCCAGGCATATTACACTCTAGTCCAACGCTCTACTGCTCTCCCAGAGGTGGTCTACAACCAACTTTGCCTCTGCTCACATACTTGTATTTACGTTTTTCTTCACAACTTTTTACTAAGGTTTTTCTTACAAAAGTTTAACAATTAGGGATTAGGAGAGTGAGCCTTAACTGTTCACACAACTGACAGAATGATCTATGATCTCTTAGGCCAGGTCAAGGAAGGGGTGGGATAAAAAGTATGATGCTGAGAGGGAGGGTATAGCTCAGTGGCACAGTGCATGCGTCACATGCATGAGGTCCTGGGTTCAATTCCCAGTACCTCCGTAAAATAAATAAATAAACCTAATTACCTCCCCAAAAAAACAGAAAAAAGGCGGGGGGGGGGCTCAAGGCATAAACAAGAGCTATCAGAATTGCCGGGGAGCCTACACTGTTCCTAGCTCTCTGAGTACCTGTCCTGCCCCTACCCCACCAAAAGGCTGATACACTGGAAGGGGATACAGGTAAGGAGAAGGGTAAGTAGATCATCTGCTTTTGACAAAGCTCCACAGGTAAAAAGAACGCTGACCCTGATGACTGGAAGAGAACGTCTTGGGGAGATGTTAATACAAACTCCGGAGAAAATGGGTTCTGAGGTCGCATGAGCTTGGGAAACACCACAGGCTAGATCGCCCTCCACAGGACTCATGCCGCACATTAGCCCAGTAAACTTTCCGAGGTTAAGGGGGTTTCACCTTACTGAATGGTGTTAAAGCCATATTCATCTCTTACACTTTCCCTCAACACTAATTTGGGAAGATAATTTAGAAATCCTGAAATATTTATGAAACTGGTCCTGTTCACTGTATGGGGACTCTGTGCCGTCTTATATTACTGGTCACTCTACTAAGTGTCCTGACACTTTAGTAGAGGGGCCAAATTTTTACGAACATCCAGCAAAAGCTAAATTTTATTCAAGTACAAGGTTATTTACCTGGTATAATGGTACCACAGTGATGATTAAATGCATTAGTCTACTTCAAAGCTACCAATACTGCCTGCGTTTACACCAGCACTGCTACAACTATCTGTACCACTGGGTCCTTTACAGCACATGGGCCACAAAGCAGAATGGCTTCTTAATCTCCACTGTCTCTGGAGAAATAAGGCCACTTGCTATCCCTTAAATGTCCTTCCTTTCCTGTCTTCATATCTTTGCTCTTGCCTTTTGCTCTGCCTGGAATGCACTCCTCACTATCGGGTCTCCAAATGTCAGTCTTACTAACCCATGAAGACCTGCCTATCTAAATGCCAGGTCTTCTGTGAAGCATTTCCAGATTGTCCACAATTGGCTGGCTTCTACCTCCTTTGAAGTCTCCCAACCACTGTTTATATCTCTTGGCTGGCTTCCACCTCCTTTAAAAACTCTCAACCACTGTGTGTATCTCTTAAATCAATAATCATATTCTTGTTATATGACTATAGGTCTTCAAGTCTCATCCTCCAATGAGATGGCAAATTCTTCAAGGATAGGAACTGTGTTTTCCTCCCATATAGGTAAAGAAAAACGTAGCCACCTAAGGTCACATAACTAGTACATGGCAGTGCTGGGCTTCACACCAGACCTGTCTAACCCCCAAACCCAGGCTCTTTCTCCTATCCTTCACCCCTCACCACCTCTTAGACAGCAAAGTCAATGGTTCCTCTGGCAACAAAAAGACATAACTCCCCTCCAAATGGAGAGAGGCAGCATAAAAGTTCTGCCTTTCTGCCCTAATTCACTGCCTGGCTTCTGACTTAATGTTTTAACTCTATCTTCTGCTTTTAAACCCTCATTTCTCCAAGCATATTCTAGGGAATAATAGTAATGAGAGGTACAATTTTTTTAAATAGATTTATGGGAAACTGTAGACTAAACAAAGTTAGACATGTTGGTTGCTTACTGCAGGGCTTTGCAGATCATTTAATATGCTACTATGCAGCACTGTATACAGTTTTTGTACATATATTTTATATCTTTAGAAGGTATAGGATATTAACACTATTTTGTTATGTATCATGGAACAGAACAACCCTTCATAAATTCCTCCTGATTCAATATAGTTGTACCTTATTTTAATAGCATCATTTTCACAATATAATACAGACCTAGCAATAAAGTCAATTCAAAACCATTTAATAACACATATCTAAATAAGAAATCTCACAACCAATGATATAGGCTTTAATATTATTGGATTTAAAACTAGCAACAATCTACTTTGTGCCAGTAAGTGATTAAGTGCTACACACACAATGTCTGACATTTAATGAGGGACTCACATGAATATAGAATATGTTTCACTCAATGATTAATACAGGTTCACTATATTTAGTTTGTACTTGAACATTTCATCTTTTCTTCCCCATCCCTGAACCTAGCTGAGGACATGACTGAAAACCAGGAAGTTTTGATGAATGAAACAGATGAGAAAAAAAAATTGATTCTTCAAGGAGAAAATGAGACTTTCCCCCATTATCATTTCTAGACTCATTGCAGCTATTTAAAATAACTAAAATAACATTGCTAGTCTCTGAGTAGGGCAGCTGGGTGACCTGGGGACATCTGAATGGATAGAAACGTGCCCCCTAAAAGAGATACGTTCAAGCGTTAACACCACGCCCCACATCTATGAATGTGAGGTGGTAGGGGATTGAGGTGGGCCCTAATCCAATGACTAATGTCCTTATAAGAAGAGAGGAAATTGGATGCAGACACAGAGGGGTGCACAGGGAGAGCCCAACGTGATGACAAGGGCGGAGACTGGGGTGATGCAGCTGCAAGCCAAGGCTATCTCTTGACCAGTGGAAGCTAGAAGAGGAAAGGAAGAATGCTTTCCTAGAGCCTTCAGAGAGACCAGGGCCCTGACAGTACCTTGGTTTCAGACTGGTAGCCTCCAGAACTGTGAGAGAATAAATTTCTGTTGTTTAAATCCACTCACAGTTTGTGGTCCTTTGTATGGCAACCCCAAGAAATGAATACAACATCTTTTAAATTTTATACAATGTGACTATGCCATGTACTCAAAAATTAAAGTAAAATCAATTCAGCTCAAGGGAATGAAAATACAAGCCACAGACTGGGAGAATATAATAGCAAAAGATATATTTGATAAAGGACTTACCTAAAACATAGAAAGAACTCTCTTAACACTAAAGAATAAGAAAACAGACAACCTGATTTAAAAAAATAAATAAACAGGCTAAAGACCTTGATAGACACCTCACTAAAGATATATAGAGAGCAAATTAGTATATGAAAACATGCTCCACAACACACGTCCTCAGATAAATGCAAATTAAAACAATAAGAGACCACTAAACACCTCTTAGAATGGCCATAATCTGGGATACTGACAACACCAAATAAATGCTGGTGAGGATGTGGAGCAATATGGGAATGCAAAACCATATAGCCACTCTGGAAGACAGTGAGGCAATTTCCTACAAAACTACACAATCCAAAAATCACGCTACTTTGTATTCACTCAAAAGAGTTGGAAACTATGTCTATACAAAAACCTGCACATGAATATCTATAGTAGCTTTATTCATAATTGCCAAAACTTGGAAGCAACCAAGATGTCCTTCAGTAGGTGAATGAATAAATAAACTGTGATATATCCAGACAGCGGAAATTATTCAGCACTAAAAAGAGATGCGTTATCAAGCCATGAAAAGACATGGAAGGACCTTAAATGCATATTACTAAGTAAAAGAAGTCAATCTAAAATAGTTATATACTGTATGATTTCAACTACATGACATTCTGGAAATGGCAAAACTATGAGGATAGTAAAAAGATCAGTGGTTGCCAGGGGTTAGGGTGGAGGCAAGGATGAACAGGCAGAGCAGAGGGTTTTTAGGGCAGTGAAACTGCTCTGTATGATCCTGCTACGGTGGATGCATGTCATTATACATTTATCCAAACCCACAGAACAGACAACACTGAGGAGTGAACCCTAATGTAAACTATGGAGTCTGAGGGATGATGTGTCACACTGTAGACTCATCAACTATATAACACACATACCAATCACTCTGGTGGGTGATGTTGATAATGGGGGAGGCCATGTATATGTTTGGGCGTGGGTGGTATATGGGAAACCTCTGTACTTTCCACTCAATTTTGCTGTAAATATAAAACTGTTCTAAAAAAAAAAGTCTAATAAAAACATTTTAAAGTTATAAAGTAAACCAAAAGTTCTATCTTTTTTATAGTACAGTTTAGTAACTACCTTGAGCCCATGACTAAAATATGCATACTTTTCCTTAAAGCTTTCCATTTTCCTTTATTCATTAATTAATTAATTCACTCAAACTTCAGTCAAGTGCTTACTCTGGGCCAGACACGGCAGCCTGGGAAAGGTTCAGGAGAATCCAGAAATCAGATTCTTCCTCTCCTTTTAGATGATGCCTACTCTTACAAATAAACCATAAAGGAAACAGATCATACCAACTAGTAGTAAAAGCATTATTCATATATTTTGGGAATTAAGATTAAGGTCAAATTTGCAAGTGCTATTCAACCATATATAAGAGATGAATTATATTTCTCCTTCCCTCTCCTCAAAGATTAATGATATCAAATATATAGTCATTACTTGACTGTTTTGAGAAGCATCTTGGGAGATAAGACAAAAATTACAAGAGAGTAAGGTCACTGAATGTGCACCATGGCATGAAAACTATCAAGAACTCTGAAAACAGAAAGAATAAATATTAAAAAACAAAACAAAACAAAAAAAAACACTCAAGAGAATAGTTAAAAATGGAAGCAGACTCTGAAATCACTAAAATTCTAGTGTTAAGAGAAACTGGAGATAAAAGAGTCTTGTTAGAGGATTCTACCATCTTAAGAAAGAAGAAGGGGAATGTCTTAAAATTATTCTGAAAAGATAGCAGTCAAGAACAGAATTATGTACAAATCAGGCTCAGCTATCCTCTCCTAACCTGTTCCAATGCTATTTCCAAATTAAGAAAAAATTGGTAACTGTTTCCAGAAATTGACAGTACAATTCAGTTGTTTCCTTGTCATGACAAAACTTGGAAGAAAACATTTAGAGAAATGATGTCCTCTCTTGAAAACAGGTCCTCAATCTTCATAGAAGTAAAAATAGAACAAAAGTAATAGACCTCATGTAACATGCACTGTCACATCCAAAGGATTATTTTCGGATCCTGTAGTTAAAATCTTTGCAAAAAAAAAAAAAATAGTACCGTCCTCCTTAGTGCTTAATTATACATATGCACTGGTATGCTTCAAGATAGAACATTACCTTAGAGAGTGGTATTTTTTTAAATGC